GAGTTTGGTCACTCTCTTCTATCCTCTGTTGAGAACATTGGTCTAAGTTTCATTCAACCTCAGTGAGTCATTATCCTGGAATGAATTCTCCTGTGAAATTAAAGCTGTTATTCTCAGGTTGGGGAAGAAGACAGAATTCCCCCTCCCCTGATTCCCTTCCCTAAGGAGTATGGAACAGAGAGCTCAGCATTGCTTAGTCACAGGACTTGGCAAGGGCAGCGGGTTGTCATATCTGTACCATTCTCTCATTTTTGAAAGTGAAATTGAACCTTGCTGGGACAAATATCCAGAAATCCCCACTGTGAAAGTCTAATTGCCACCCTTTGCCTCCAGGATTTGAGGTTCTTGAACTTAAGTTTCTTCAAATTAAAAGAAGAAATGGCAAGGGGTAGGTGGCTCAGTGGATAGAGCAGCAGTCCTGGAGTCAGGAGGACCTGAGTTCAAATCTGTCCTGAAACACCAGCTATGTGACCCTGGGCAAGTCACTTTACCCCAATTGCCTCAAAAAAAAATGAAGAAAGAATTAATCAACTTAATAGTGACAGCCTTGTGTATTCCCATTGGAAATCCCTTCTAACAGACAGGAGTTATTTGTGTTCATCTTCTCTCCCCCTAACATACTAGATACCCCTTGAAGACTATGTCTTATTGATCTTTGTTTCTCTTCTAGTGCCTAGCACAGTGCTCTGCACATAAAGGGTGCTTAATAAATATTTATTGAGTTGAATTATCTTTCAGGTCAGAGGATCTGGATTAAAATTCTGGTTCTGCTACTTTCTAACTGTGTGACCTTCCACAAATCATTTCCCTTCTTCAATCTTCAGTTCCCTTGTGTGTAAATAAAGGGATTGGGCTCTTTCATCTCTAAATCCCCAGTTGCTTCATAATAACACTTTAAGAAACAGTGTAGTCTAATGGTTAGTGTACTAAATTTGGAATCAGGGGATCAGAGCTCTAAGGCTTGCCTGCCCCAAATACTGATTGTGATCCTATGAGCAAGTCCCTTAATTTTTCAGAGCTTCAGTTTCCTCATCTGTAAAGTTGGGGAGGGGGAATTATATTTGTACTATCTATCTCACAAGGTTGTCCTGAAGAAAATACTTTTGTAAGCCTGATAGCACTATAGAAGTGTGAGCTATAGTATAAATAATGATACAAAACAATAGTTTTCAAATTCAGGGGACATCACAACTTTCAAAACACTTCCATGCACATTAGGTTACAACATCCCTATGAGATATATAAGGCAGGTATATGGTTATGTCCCTTTTATGGTTGAGGAAATTATGACCTAGAGAAATTGTGATTTATTTCCAGAAAAAACAGCTAATAAGTACTAATAAGTAAAGACCAGATGGGACTACAACTCATGTGTTCTGTCTTACCATTCCACCAATATGTTTTCAATGCACCATACTACTTCTGACAGCAGGAGCCAAGATCTGGGGGGGAGTGAAAAGGGGGATAGGAGAAGGGGTGGGAATAATTTTGCAATCCCAGGGTATAGGCAAGTCCAGAGACAGTCCTGTAGACATCAGTTTTCCTGGCATCAAGAAGACTGAAAGAAGGGAAGGATTATAGCCGTTTGAATGGACATTGGTCATCAGTCCCCAATCACATGGGAAGCTGAGTCCTGGCCAAGTTTACTCACTTGGTTCCATAACAAAGGCAGAGCCTTTCAGTTTCGATGACAAGTGATAAATAAACTCCCTCTTTCCACTCAGTCCCTTTCCCTTGAAGGCATCCAGCTTCTGTTTTCATGACACCCTAACTACAGATGGTCTTGACTGATAACTGCCTGGGAAATAGATTTCCTATCTGGTGGTAGAGTTAAGGAAGGGTAGGGGATCTTGGCTCTGTACTTTAATAGATGTAGGCTTTAAATAAAGCACTAGATAAAATAAAAGCCAAAGGGACTTTCTTTGAGGCACTACTTAGAAGGGGGATCACAAGATAGGACTTTCCTGCTTCTCACATGACTCCCTTTGGGAATTCTTCTTGACTCAGAACCCCATAATCCTTTATAGCCTCAACCCCAGCCCAAACAATAACCATGTCTTAGATTCTGCCAGGCTGACCAGATCCCTGGATGTAGTACCTTTACCCATCTAGGCCCCACTTCCACCACTGACCACACTCACCATCACCCTCACTTACCCTCTTTGGAGCCCTGGAGTTGACAAAGGCTCAGTATAAGCAGTTAATTGGAAAAGATTTGGTACATGTCCTGTAAGATCTATATAGGGACTTTCCTCCCCTACTGTCTTGGAAGGTGTCATTATTGATGTGCACTCAAGAGCATTTTTAGAAATTGAGGGAAAGTATTAAAAAGTGAGGAGCAGGATGATTTGGAACTGTCTGGGATTCAATATTTATTTTGCAAAGAGAATTATAGAAAGATGGAATGCTGGAGCTGGTGGCGATATTAGAGCAATGCTGTATTAGAGAGCACAAAAATTTCATACATGTCCAGGAGAAGGAAATGAGGGGAATAGGAAATCCCAAGGAATGGAGAAGAGGAAATATAAACAAATGAATGAATAAAAACAAAACAAAACAAAACAAAACAAAACATAGATTAAGAGCCTCTATGTGCCACACATTGTGCTTAGTGTAGGGGAATAAAAATAAAATCAAGAAAAGCCCTGCTTTCTGGGAGCTTACCTTCTAAAAAGGGTGTCAACACATATAGGGAATGATATCCAGAAAGGAGTGTTTTGATTGGGTGAATCACAGGAAAGATGAGTTGACTGACACAATCCAGTAGCAATGGCAGTATTGATTTGATTATGGTTCCAGAGTTAGAATCTTTGAGGTGGGGCTGGTGGAAGGGGAAAGAAACATAACAAGGTGGGTAGCAAGAAGATGGCTGGGGGAAGTGTGAAGCATTGTTGAGCTCCAGGTAATCTTTTATTTATTTATTTTTTTAACCAATCAAGACTTCCTCAGAGGGCAAGTTCTAAAGCTGAGAGGTTTCTTTGAGGTAAATTTTGACAATTCAATTTTGTAGAATTTTTAGTTCTAGGCAGCTATGGAAACAGCAGCCTGTTTGCTTTTCTTTCTTTCTCTTTATCCCAAGAGCATGGATCCTAAGGATCCATGATCCTTTCCATGCCTTCCCCTTCCTCCCTCCTTTCCTGGAGAAATAAGCTCCCCTTCAGCTCCTACTTACCCTCACTCTTGTCATCTCCCTATAAGCAAAAAGGAAGTAACCTTCAGAGACCTGTCCCCAAATCTTATGGGTTGGACTTGTCAACCTCTGAGAATTGGTCTAAGAAAGACAAATGAATCAACTTGTCCAAGTTCATATTTTATTCTCTCACAGCAGGTGGTTATGCATTTGATGGGAGCTAACAGTTTGGAACTGAGAGCCCAGTTTGGGGTTGGGGTACATAGCTTATGTATCCTTTGAAGAGTAGGTGTTCCCAAGGGGTGCCAACCAACTCTGGTTAACACACTGGGAGGTGGGCTATATTAGAATGAGGGTCTTGGGGTATGTGATTTAGGTCACCTAAATTTTGGTCAAAGAGGCATCAATTTCCATATCATCTATCTTGACAGTAGGGAGAATCAACACTTTCCCAGACCTGTCTGAGCAACACAATGAACAGAAATACACCCATTAACCCAAACTTAATGTCCTTTTGAAGAAAAAGCTGAACTTTGAAAGAAGGGGGATGGGGGGAAGCTCTGAATCTCCAAGATAATGATTACTAAGAGAAATCATTTTTCACAAACTAGATGACCTCTGTGAAAAATGATTTTTTTTTTTTAGTAATCATTATCTTGGAGACTTAGAGTTTTCCCCAGCCCGCTTCTTCCAAAGTTTGGTTTCTTTTTCAAAAGAACAATTACTGACAGTGTGATTTGCGCTTACAAAGGTTTTTCTCCCCTTCTACTTCCTTATCCAGAAACCAACCAGTGTAGGAAATCTTTCTTAAAGATTTACCAAGGCCAAGATCTAATCAGAAAGTAGAAGAACCTCTAAATTGAAAGTTGAAAGTAAAAGAACCTCTAACAACCTCCCAGTGTGTTAACCAATCAGAGATGATTGGCACCCCTCGGGAACACCTACTCTTTGAAGGACATATAAACTATGCACCCCACCCTCCAAGTGGGCTCAGTTCCAATACTGCAGCCATGCATGCATGTCTGCCCGCTTGAAGAGAAATAAACCAGCAGATGGATACAACCTCATTCATTTCTTACTTGGACCAAACTCTTAGAGGTTGACACCTCCAAGGTCCCTTCTAACTCCTAAGTCCTAAGAGTAACCAATTCTTCAGCCTGCTTACTTGAATGTGTCTTCATTTCTTGTATTATTTTCAGTTCATGAATTAAAAAGATAATTAGAAGGCACGTTTTCTGCCATTGGCTCCAGTTCTCATTGCTTGCCCTAACAGTGATTGCCCTGGTACCAAAATTACTAGTCATATCGCTGCTTTAGAGGTCATTTAGTCTAAATGCCTCATTGAGCAGATAAGAACACCCAAGCCCAGTGAGGTGGAACTGAGTCAAGGTCACATAGATAATTAGTTGGTAGCTCAGCAAAGATAAGAACCCAGGTTTCCCAATTCTCAGCCCTGTGGTCTTTCAGCTACATGCTGTCTTTATGAGAGCTAGCTCTGATTCTCCTATGTATATCTCATCCCCTCTCCCCCTTCTCCCACTCTCCAAAAAAAGTTCATTCATTCATTCATTCATTTAGCAGAAATTTATTCAGCAGCGTGCCTAGCACAAGGCCTGGGTGAGTATGAGGTCATACAATGATGTATAAGACAACAGAGCTTGCAGATAGTTCTTGGTGAAAGCAAATGTCTGGCAGTCATCCTTATGAAGAGTATAAACTTGATTTTAAGAGCTTGAAGACATTGAAAACTGTCCTGGCCCTTTGAAACCATATGGGGAAAGATTGGTAAAATTGACTCTCTATGGGAGTGAATGGGAGTGAAGGCTTTTTTTTTTTTGGTCTTGACAACAGTCATGTGAATTTTTTTCAGAATACCTTCAGCAGAAGAGGTCCTACCAGCCCCTCTATTTCCATTCCAAGGCCAAAGGCAACCAGATCCTGCTGAATGACTGCTATTCCAGGGCAGAGAGGATCTCTACCTTTCATGATGGCATTGTCTTTACCAACCGTCCAGTCAAGCCTTACGAAATAGTAACCCTCCGGATCCTGAAGATGGAGGATGGATGGAATGGTGGGCTCCGTGTAGGGTTCAGCTGCCTGAACCCCTCAAATATCAACCCTTATAGCCTGCCCCCTTTCATCTGCCCTGATCTAACAGCCCAGACTTCCACTTGGGCAGCTGTCCTGCCTGATCAGTTCATTAAGGTGGGAAATATCATCCACTTCTGGGTGAACAACTCAGGAAAAGTCTTCTTGAGGACCAACCAGGTCAAAAGGTTTCTGTTATTCGACCGAGTGACTGTGAGCTGTCCTCTTTGGGCTGTAATGGATGTCTATGGAACTACAAAAGCCATTGAGTTGCTCGGTGAGTCGATTCATTCTTGAATAGTGGGGAGGAAGGAGTGGAGAGGGAAGGGAGTGAGTTTCTGTAGGATTGGGTGCAAGTCCCCATTTCTCAGGGATGCTTACTAGCCCAGGACAGTGACAGCTAGGTGGCACAGAACATAGACTGCTGGACTTAAAAATACCAGAGTTCAAATCCTGCCTCATACATTAACCAACCTCCAGGCAAGTCACTTAACCTCTATGTTTCCTCAGCTGTAAAATAGGAACTCAATTTCAATTCAAGTCAATAAACATTTATTAAGCACCTACTAAGTGCCAGGCACAGGGTTAAGCAGTGGGAATACAAAATGAGGCAAAAGACAGTCTCTGTCCTTAAGTGGATTACAATATAATGGTGAAGACAATATGCAGGCAAATTTATACCAAGCAAGCTGCACAGAATAAGTAGGAAATAATTAACAGAGGAAGGCACTGGAGTTAAGAGGGGTTGGGGAAACCTTCCATTGGGAGTTGGGATTTTAGTTGGGAAGTTAGGAAGCCAGGGGGGTCAGTAATCAGAGTGGAGGAGAGCATTCCAGACTAAGGTATGATCAACAGATCATACCTCCCAGGGTGGTTGGGAGGACCAAATGAGATAACATCTTTAAAGCGCTGTGCAAATCTTAAAGCTCCACATAAATGATAGCGATCATTGTAACAGTTCTCTTCTTTCACAGTCCCGAGCTCGCTTGGAAGAAGGCTAGGCTGAGGGCCCTGAGTGGGTGGAAAGCCAGAGAAGAAAGAGCCCCAATAAAATCCCTTCTTGGTTAACACCATAGCTGTAGGCAGTTCAACTACCTATTGGGTGGGATGCTTTCTCCATGCCTCTGGGGCCCTTCTACTCGGGACGAAGAGTTCTTAAAACTGAAGGCAGGGCATGTGTCAAATTGCTTTCCATCTCAGGGAAGGGGGAGTGGAAAGAAGGTGGGATAGAATGTGGAACTCAAAACTTAAAAAAAGAAAAGGTTAAAAATTGTTTTTACATATAATGGAGGGGAAATAAAATATTACTAAAAATAAGTTTTACAAAAACAAAGTAGGGGTTAAGAAAAGGGTAGGACAAGTTGAAATCTAGACATTAATGCTGTTTCCTACGTACTGAGGCTTCTGTTGCTGGAGGCCATAGGCCAAATACCTGATCCCTTAAAAGGAAAGTGAGAGGACAGGATGCTCCCCATTCCTCACCCCAAGGACAGAAGGTGGAGGGAGATTGCAAAGCATCTGTCAACTCCTAACCTTGTTTCATTTTTCATAGCTCCTGTGAGTGATCCTTTCAGACCCAGACTTCTGACACCGATGTTCAGGGATGAACCTTATGGTAAATGCCTCTCCACAATTAAGGGGAAGTCATTTGAGTTCTCACTCCCATCACCTGGGTGGAGTGGATGGGGGCAGACCATAAACAACAATGGGAGAGGGGAGGGGGAAACAGAAGGGAAATATTTACTGTCAGGAGTAAGGAATGATGGGCTGAAGGCTTGGGAGTTGGAACTCCTGAGATCTATCCCTGGACTGTTCCTGGAGTGATTTTGAGAAGGTTACTTGCCCCTTGTCCTTATAAAAAATACCCTTACTACAAAGTTCAGCATGTATTCATGAGGGTGGATTCCCCCCACCCCCGCCCCCCAGGTTTTTGTAAAAGTGCTCCAACCAACAATATCAAGTAATGATAGCAGTGGTCTCCATTTACTTTGCACTTTATAGTTTACAAAGCAGGCAGTGGGGACCAGTGGGAAGAACACTGAATTTGAGAGTCAGTGAACCTTGTTTCAAATCCCAGCATCACCACTTGTTACCTGCATGATCTTGGGCAAGTCACTTCTCTTCTGGTCCTTAGTTTCCTCCTCTATATGTCAGTGGGTTTGGATAAGATGGTCTCTCAGGTCCCTGATGGTGTAGATATTTTTATCCCTCTTTTAGAGAAAACTGAGGCTGAGTAAGGTTAAATGACTTGCCTACAATCACTTAGCTAGTTAGAGACAGAGCTCAGACTCAAAAAACAGGTCTTATGTTCTTTCTTGTGATCTGTCCATTATACCCTCATTGCCTTTACTAAGACTTCCCGTTTTGTAAAGTACTGTGCTTGGCACAAAGGGTAGCCAGAGAGCTCCCTCTTCTTCCCTTTCTTCATCATCTCACATTACTAAGGTACCTTCACTCACTCTCTCCTCCTTTGCCTTTGTTTCTCATAAAGAAGAAGCCCTTCTTCCTGCCAAGGAAAAACTTACATTCATCCTTGATCCCATCCATTTCTGTCAGCTGTAGCAGTTTGTCCCCTTTATTATCCCAACTCCCTTTCTATTCTTCAGTCTCATCCTATCCACAGGCACCTTCCCTGCTGCCTGAAAACATGCCCATGTCTCCTCATCCTTAAAAACAAAAATCTCATTTGATCCAACCATCCCATCTAGCTATCAACCTATATCTCTTCTTCATTTCTTGGCTAATCTTCTTGAAAAAGCCTTTTATGATTGGTGTCACTATTTCTTCTCTTCTCGTCCAATTCTAAACCCTCTGCAGTCTGATTTCCAATCTCATCATTCAATTGAAACTTCTCTCTCCAAAGTCACCAGTGATCTCTTAGATGTCAAATCTGATGATTTTTTCTTAATCCTCACCCTTCTTGGCTTCCCCGGAGTCCTGGCCTCGCCCCCTTGATTACCCTCTTCTGGATACTTTCTCTGGTTATTGTGAAACTGCTTTCTCTTCTAGTACCTGCCTCTTGTTTGCGGGCCTGCTCAAGCATCAGCTGAAGGTAGGGGCGTGTCCTTTTCTTTGGAAAGAGCGTGTCCCAATAAGAAGGGTGGGATTGGGGAAGAAGAATAGAAGCAACCGGGAAAGTGGAGGTGGAGGGTGCTCGCTCTGCACTTACTGAGTAGTTGCAGGGCCCTGCCCACGAGGATGCAGGTGAAGGCAGAGCAGGAGCGGAGGCAGCGGCGACAGAGGCGCGAGGAGCGGCGCAGCCCTACCCCGGCGTCCTGCTCTTACGGGCCCTGGGCCCTGCAGGGCTCCTCGGGAAGCCCCAGGCCGGCCCCAAGCAGCACTAGAGCCTCACGTAACCGTGCGGGCAGTTGCCTCAGATCATCAACCAAAAGGAAAAACAAATCTTTTGAGAGAAGTAGCAGATCTCCTCCGAGGGAGAGAAGCCGGGGCCATCACCATCCTGCAGTCAGGATCCCCGGAGTGGAAGAGAAGAAAGGCAACACAAGAAGCAATCAGAACAAGTACACAGGCAGGAGAGAAATGGTGACCGCGACAGACACCATAGCCACTCTCACCAGAGGAAGAGCGCTAGTGAGAGGCCTGGTGGTGGGCGGGACCGAGATGCCCACAGCCTACAGGAACAAGAAGCAGAAAGAGAGTTTTATAACTCTCTGCGACGGGAGCGTGGCCAGAAGAAAGATGTGGGTGGCAGCAGTGATGGGAATCGGGAGAGTGTTTGGCAGTCTGCTGGTGGCCACAGTGGAAGAAAAGAGCCACTGAGTAAAGAGAAGCCCAGCTTGGAACTTTCAGGGGCACTCCTTGAGGATGCAAATAGGTTCCAAGGTGTGGTGATAAAGTACAGTGAGCCTCCGGCAGCACGGATCCCAAAGAAACGCTGGCGCCCTTACCCCTTTAAGAATGATGAGGTTCTTCCGGTCATGTATATCCATAGACAAAGGGTTTACCTCCTGGGTGGATACAGGCGAATTGCAGATATGCCTATTGACCACCCCTCCTGTTCCAAGCAGCACGCAGTATTTCAGTATCAGCTTGTAGAATACACCAGCGCTGATAAACCAGTTGGCCAAAGGGTCAGGCTGTATATCACTGACCTTGGCTCAGGTAATGGGACATTCTTAAACAACCATCCCATTGAGCCATAGCGTTACTATGAGCTAAAGGAGAAGGATATGCTCAAGTTTGGGTTCAGTAGCAGGGAATATGTACCCTTCCTGAGTCTTCAGACACCTCTGAGGTGGATAGGAAAGAAGATGAGGAAGAGGAGGAAATCTCTGACAGCTAGCAAATTCTGAAGAAGTTCCTGTTAACAGCTAAGAGAATTGTGGAAGGCTTGGACTTAAGATCTAAAGAGCAGAGCAGCACTTCCTTGTACTTTCAGCTTATGTCGAAATTTAAGAAATTTTTTTTTAAAAGGTGCCATTAAACTATGGAGTAGGAGAGGCTTTGGCCTGCAATACCTGGTATAGGGTAGGTTCAGAACTGAGTTCAAGTCTGAGAGATTCCTTCAGGAAGGTGAAGGCCTCCACATTTGTCACTGATTGTGCTGATTCTAATAAGCCCCAAGACATTGTAACACCTTCTAGAGGAGGTCTGTAATCACACAAAGGAGTCTGAGCTATTTATCCACACAGGAAAGAGAAAGAAGACAATCTTCTACCAGATCGACATGTATTTGGATGCATACCTTGTAAGGCTAGCTTATTCATCAATATGTATGTCTGGGATTGCTGGGATAATGAACCAGGCCCAAGGTTGAACAGAAGACACTGGATCACCTTCAGGAAATTTCAAGGCTTTTCCTAGTTCCAGTCTTTTCAATGCTATCAGTTTACAAGTGTTGCTATATGGCAGCGAGACGCCCGAACACCAGTAGCAGTACCTTAAGAGCTGCCAGAGAGCAATGGAGAGCTTTATGGGGAAAAGTAGGTATCAACATACTATCAAGGAAGAACTTTAAAGAAGAGGAGTGAAGGACAGTGAAGGATGTCAGAAATCTGTATGATGGAGAGAAGATGGGATGGTCCTGTGGAAAGAGCAAGGGACGTTTGATAGATTGCCATTGCTAATCACTTTGTCTACTCCATGCCTTTTCACTGGCTGTAGGCCAAGCTTGAAATGCTTTCCCTCTTTGCCTCTACCTCCTTATTTCCCTGATTTCCTTCAAGTTTCAGCTTAAATCTCACCTGCAAGAGGCCTTTCCTAGTCCTCTTGAATATTAGTGCCTTCTCTCTGACATTACTTTCCATCAGCTCTCTCTCTCTCTCTCTCTCTCTCTCTCTCTCTCTCTCTCTCCTCTCTCTCTCTCTCTGGTGTGTGTGTGTGTGTGTATGTATGTATGTATGTATATATATACACATATATATGTGTACATATATATATATGTGTGTACATATATATATATGTACATATATATATGTATATGCCTGGCACATGGTAAGCACTTAATAAATGCTTGTTGATAGACTGGCACAAAGAAATAACTTCACCTTTTTCTCTAGCCTCTCTTTTGTTTTCCAATCTCCTGGGGCTCTGCAGCATGAATACGGTAGCCTAGTAACCTGGAGAGGAGTAACAGAAGGTAGAGATGACTTGGTATCTAGGCAGAATGAAAGAGAGATGGACAGTAGAATCTCAGAGGTTTCTCCTAGGCCAGGTAGATCTCTAAGGGAGGAGACTCATTTTACCCATGATGCTTTCCTTCACCTAAGCTTTCTTGTCTTTCTAGAGATCAGTTTCTGCCTCCCAGCTAGAGATGGAGAAGAGTGTTCTGTCTGTTTGTACCATGTCAAGAACACCTGGCTTCTTCCTTGTCACCACACCGTCCTCTGCTATTGCTGTGCCAATAGGATCTTCAGAGACACTGCCAAGTGCCCCATATGCCGCTGTAAGATTGAACTATTCTGCCTACAGAATAAATCCACTCCAGCAGACGCTTGGAATTTCTCCTGATAACCTGCTACAAAGTGGGGTCCAGATGGAGGTGAGCAGGAGCACCAGGATCAGCTCACCCCTGAAATTTGGCCCCATTCCCATCTCTCAGGACACCTGTTCCCTGCAGCTGGCCATACCATTTCATGCTGAATAAGGAGACTCTGTGGATGCCCTCTTTCATACTTACCCACCCTGGCCTCTTATATAGCAGAGACTAGGAGTCAGAAGGCTTGAACTGAAATCTTGGCTCTGTCACTAACTCTGTGACCCTGGGTAAGTCGCTTGATGTCTCTGAGCCTTAGTTTCTTCATTTGTAAAATGGGGATGCTACCTACCTCACAAATTTGTTCTAAGGAATGGTATAAATAATAAAATAATGTACATAAAGTGTTTTGTAACAATAAAGTGCTATATACTTAGAAACTTTTGTTACTGTTATTTTTTTATTTCATTAAACATATGAGTGATATGAAAGAGGTGAGTGTTCATTGGTTGAGGGCCAAAGAAGTAGGACAAGGACAGATAGAAGCATCAACCCTCTACTCCTCTACCTTCTACTCTGCCCACTACCCTACCACCCCCCCCACCCCCCACACACATACAAAGAGTAGGTAGGTAAGAAGCTGGGATGGGAGCTGAGAATCAAAGAATATCTAAGATGAAAAGGACCTTAGAGGTATTTAGTTCAACACTTACCTGAATGTGTTGGGGAATTACATCCCAATAAGTTGTCATAGACCCCCCCCCCCAGAGACCTCCAGTGCTAGGGAGCTTAATACAACTCCAAAGCAGCCTATTCCACTCTCACAGCTCTTAATTGTTAAGAGAAGTGAGGTGTCTCACTAGGAGGTTATTTGAGAAGGGTCTCCAAGTCAAAGGATACACTAAGTGCAGCCCCTCCAGACACTTGAAGGGGAGGTTGGGGTACTTGGGGGGTACTCTTGAGAGTCTGTCATCCTCGAGTAGCTATAATCCCAAAGTATCAGATGAGATCAGCAATTGCCCTGGGAGGTAGGAAACCTAGGCTCTCCTGAGTCAACCTCATTTTATGAACTTGGAACATTCATGCCCATTGAAGGACATTCAGTTGGTTGCTTGACACCATTATATACAGGAAATAGGAGCCCAACTGAGCAACTTGTCTAATTTTATGGGCCCTTGGAGGAAAGTTGGGGAATCCAAAAATGAGAATGTCAGAGCTGAAAGACATCAATTGCCCCAATGGCTTTTATTTCACAGGTGAGAAAAGTGAGGCTCAGACAAGTTAGGTGACTTGCCCATCAAAGCAGCATGGTGTGGAAAGAGCACTCACTGACCTTGGAGTCAGCAGAGATATGGGTCTGAATTCTATGTCTGACACTTCCTAAATGGGTGACCCTGAGGAAGTCTCTGAACTTTGCTGAGCTTCAGTTTCCTCACATGAAAAATGGGGAAGAATAATGATCCTTGTAGCACTACCTCCCAGTATTATTCTGAGACCCAAATGAGCTCCTGTGAGTGTGTAGCTTTGTAAACCTTAGAGTGCAGTGCCATGTAGGTGCCAACGATATCTATTGTCCTACTCATTTGTGAAAGAGCCAAGATGAATCCCTGGCTCGAATCCAAGCCCAGTTTTCTTCCCAGTGTCCTGGAGTTGAGTTAACCTCAGGGTCTAGCAAAAGGTATACTGATACATGTTTAACAGCTGACTGGCTGAAAAAAAATGTACATAAGAAAAAGTTTAATCTGCATTATTAACATTTTTTCCACCATTTTCTTAAGTGTAGACAATCAGCAAAACAATAAATGAAGCCCTGATTTGTAGCCTTGGTGTAAATGTTCACTCTGAAAATTTAACCATCAGTTGTCCTGAGTCAAGCTGGCTCAAGCACACGCTTAGGTACAGCATTCTATGGAGACTGGCCCCTTGACACCCCAGACTTGGTCTGAACCTATATTCTGTCCTTCTCCCAGGTCTCAGGCTATCCCATACCAACCCTCACCAGTTCTGGGACTCAGGACCCCTCCTCTGTTGTCTAAAACCCTTAGAAAATGCTTTCAGTTGAGCAATTAAGCAATCAAAGAAAGCCTTGGCTGGTATATATTAAGCCATAACTTAGGGAACAGCTCCCACCCCTCAGTCAGTATTACTGTGGCAAGCCCTAGGCAGGGTCCTGCCTTATCTCTTTTCTAGAAAGAACTTTTGTGGGATTGAATGAGCTACCCAAGGGCACAACCTCTGCTAGAAGGAGGTGAGTTCAGAGTGGGGCAGTAAGAAAGAAAAAAAACAACTACTATTGCGTGCTTCTCCTGTCCAGTAAGCCCATAAGAAGTTCAAGGAGGGCAAAGGATTGAGGAAGGATGGCAGATTGGCAGAGATTATCACTCTGGGAAGGTGACAGTCCTCCCCAGCGTTCCTCCCCACTATTGATGGAACTGGTTCAGAAGTCATTGGTAGGATACTCCCTACTGTCCTGAAACTCCCACAGACCCTGGGAAACGAAAGTTTTCCAAGTTCTCAGGATGGGGCTAGGATAGCTCTGAAAAGCGCAGCCTGATTCAGGGGGTCATTAGCATGGAAAGTCACATTCACCATCTGTTGCCAACTTGCTATCATACCTGTTTAAATAATGCTCATTGTTACATTACTACTTGGCAATAGTATGGTTTCCCCAAACCTTAAAGGGGCTGTTTGGGTACTGGCACTGACTTCTCTTGTCTTTCTTGGGGCCTCTGCTACCTCCCTTGCTTGATACTGGGTTTGCAGTTTGACACAGTGACTTTCCACACCCAAGTACAAAGGACTTTATTCTGATGAATGTGATAAGGAAAATATTCTCTGTGAACCAAAAGCCAATAAAATAGATTGTGGTGGCATTTAACTAGCTCACTGTTTATTCCCTCCCTGCCTTCAGTCATGCCACCCAAAGGCTTGGGAGAGAGGAGGTACCACTGGGGTGGCTTCCTGGAGGACTCTCTCAAAGGTTGCCTCTTGTTCCTTAGGGCATCAATGCCATACTGTCCATTCACTTGAACTCTGAAAAAATGGAATGCCAGGAAGCTCTCCAGATCTTCCAACTCACAGGGTTATAGGTTCCACTCTTCACTGGGCTCCAAGCTCCCCTAAGAGCCTTGAGGCAAAGAGACAAGACCTGAAACAAATGAGCCTTTTTGAATGCCTCAGTAGCCAACCAAAGAGCTCCTCTTCAACACATGGTCAGCCAACCAGAACTAATTATAGTATGTCTACACACACTCCACAGTTTGTCTTTCCAAGGCACTTCCTTTGTATATCATGACAATTGTCTGGGTAGCAGGCTTCCCAGGTTTTCTATGTGGAAAGATGCCATCCCAGGTGCTCTGCACATACACCAACCAGACTCCCATTACAATAGCATACATTATAGAACAATTACAAGAGAATTCAGCAACTCAACTTAAAACCACTGTTGCATCACTGCTAGGTCTATATCCCAAAGACATTTAAAAAAATGAAAAAGGATTTTGTACAAAAATATTGTACAAAAATATTTATAACAGGTTTTTTTGTGGTGGCTAAGAACTGGAAATCAAGAGGATGTCTATCATTTGGGGAATGGCTGAACAAGGTGGAGTATATGATTGTGGTGGAATATTATTGTGCTATAAGAAATGACAAGCAGAATGACTTCAGAAAAACCTGGAAAGACTTACATGAACTGATGCAAAGTGAAGTGAGCAGAACCAGGAGAATGTTGTACACAGTAGCAACAATATTGTATGATGAAGAATTGTCAATGATTTAGCTATTTTCAGCAATACAATGACCCAAGACAATCCCGAAGGACTCATGATGAAGCATGTTATCCACCTCCAGAGAAAGAACTGGTACTGTCTGAATACAGACTGAAGCATGCTGTTTTTCACTTTCTTTCATTCTTTTTTTTAAAATTCAAGTCTTCTTGTACAAAATGACTAAATTGGAAATATTTTACATGATTGCACATGTATAACCTAGATCAGATTGTTTACTGTCAGGGATGGGGAGGGGAAGGAGGGATAGAATTTGGAACTCAAAACTTTTAAAAAAATGTTTAAAAATTGTTTAACATGTAATTGGGTGAAAAATAAAAATATTAAATTTAAAAAAATTTAAACCCCACTGTTACAATCTTCTGGGAGGCTGATAGTAAGATTTGTCATGGCATCAAAAAAGTTTTGTAATACTACTACTTAGCCATTTTATATTTTATCTCTGATGGGCACTGTCCAATCACTCCTGGCACTTGTCTGATGGTAAAACAGGACAGGATTATCCTCTCTCCTGGTTGTGGTCAGACTCTCCATTGCAGATGTTTCTCCTGTCAGCAGCCCTGCTGCTCCAAGGACACTGCAGCTGCCATACCATAGTCTTTCCAGGACATTCATACCTTCCAGAACTTGAAAGGTCACTACCAGTCCTGCACATATCCACTATAGGATCCTTGTCTGCCTAAACTCAGGAAAAGACAAACAAAAGGGAGGCAAAAGCAGCCAGGGACCCCTGAGGCCAATTTGCCTGGTTAATTCCTGAAGCACTAACTTGTGGGTGGAATTGTGGGTGGAATTGTCATCATATTGGGATGGAGGAAAGACCCTGTCCTTTCCCACCTCACACTGGTGCCACATATTGTGAGCTACAGCCCAGGAATCACCAGTCAGAATCTGCCTTCTCTTTGAAAAAATACCCTAAGTTAACAATCAGTTCTTTTAGCTTAGTGGGCAATTAGGGGAGTCTCAGTGCTGCCCCTCACCTCCCGCATGGTCAGCAGAAACCAGGCAGAGAATATCTACCCATGCTCTATATAAACACCATGGTTACAGTTTCTTTTACTGTGATTTGTGTCAAAGCTCATGAGTGTGAGGTTCAAGAGTGAGAAAAGGGAATTCACCTCTAAAAGAAACAAAAGATGTTTTCTCCAGGGTACGCTGAGGTTGAGCTTGGAGCTAATAACAAGACTTCTGTTGTTGTTTGTCCTTCATTCTTAGAGGACCATGACATCAGGGAGATGATGCCATGACATGCAAGTGGATAAAGCAATGGGCCTGGAGTCAAAAAGAACTGGATTCAAATCTGGCCTCAGACACTTACTAACTGTGTGACTCTGGGCAAATCACTTAACCTATGTTTGCCTCAGTTTCCTCAAATGCAAAATAGAGATAGTAATAGAACCTACCTTGTAGGATTGTTGTAGGGATCAAATGAGATATTATTTGTAAAAAGTGCTTAGAATAAATATTTATACTATTTTCTCCTGCTTTGCTGCCATACACACACACACACACACACACAATATTTTTGTACATATGAGTCCT